GCCACCACCCGCCTCCTTCAACTGATGTGCAAGGTCGGCCAGGTGCCCTGGCAGGCGCCCCGGGGCCAGGCCCTCCACAGCAGGAGACTGGCGGGGACAGGAGGGGAGGCGGCAGTTCTGGGGGACGAGAGCTCTCTCCCAGGGTCCCGCCGGGCCCAGGCCGCCGCCGGAGTGGAGCTGGGCCGCCCTCCCAGAGCCGCGGGAGTCCCGTGTGCCCAGTAGAGACAGCAGGGCTTGCACACTCGGTCCTGGCAGCCATTTTAATAAGTGCTCGTGACAAAGCCTCCAGAGCCCTCCACCACATCCGCCACGGTGCAGAGGACAGTCGCCCCGATCTGCTGCCAGCTGCTCGGGTTTCTGGAAAGCCCAGCCATCCAGATAGCTTGTGCTGCCCGCCCGGAGTTGCAGTCCGTGCTGCCGGGCAGGGTCTGGAAAGCTGTGGACCAGAGTATGTAAGCTGCAGCCTCCGGGAGCTGGGGACACTCCGTGGGGCTCTCAGGGACGGGGAGTGGGGGCTCAGGCACCGAGGGAGGCCCTGCAGAAGCCAGGGCACTCTGGGGTTGCCCTGGAGCCCCAAACTCTGGCTCTGAGGGTCCACGAATGGCAAGCAAAAGCACCATTTAAAAAGGGATACCACTGTGTTCTGTGAGCCGCGTGGGCTGGCGTGGGCCCCAGAGCACAGCCTGTGACCGTCCCCCCAGACAGATGACAACGAGCAGGGCCACCGGCCCTCATCCTCTCTTCAGCTCTCACTTCAGTCTCCAATCCCTGCAAAGCAGGAGACCCCAGTCCCGGTCCTCCTCGTCGATCTCCTCCCCATCTCTCGGCCGTCACCCACGGCGCTCTGGGTGACAGGTGGCATTCTGTAGAGGTCATTAACTCCAGAGCACCACATTTTAATGCAGAAACGAGCCCTTCTAAATCGGCGCAGCTGCGAAGCTATATAAAGAAATGGGGATTTTAATGTTTTGCTTTTCTTCTCTTTTCTACTGCCACATTATCATAACATTTCCCTATAATTACGCCCATAAAAGTCACCTGAAAATACTTCATGCCACAAAAGTTGATCTACACATGTCATTCCGTGGATGTCGAGTGGCGAGTCTCGAGCAGGAACTTCGAGGGTCGGATGCAGCCCGGAGGCCCGGTGCCAAGCAGACCCAGCAAGTCGACGGTGGGACGAAGTCCCCCTTTATGGGATCGGCTGTCCTCTGTCCTCAGTGACAAGAGGGATGCTGGAGACAGTCCTGGAAAGCCGTGGGGCTCCTGTCCCCAACATCGTTCCCCAGAACCCTTATCCCCCGGGGGGGTCTGTGCCTGGGTGGACGCTTCCATGGGCAAAAAACCCCCTTCCCTCACTGATGCTTGGGCATCCAGCTCAGCTAACAGAAATCCCACAAAACAGAGGCGACTTCTCTCTATGAAGTTGAAAGAAACCAACACCACATCCTCTCCAGCCAGAAATTCAACAGACAAAAACACACAGGAGAAAAGGGGGGAAAAAAGAAAAAAAAGAACCCGAGATGAGAGAAAAAAAACCTATGAGTGGCATCACTTCATTAAGCCCAGTATTTTCAAATTTAGCTCTCCAAGAACTCCAGATATAAAATCTCAACAGCAGGAAAGTAGCATAGTCTAATCTCTCCTAACTATGCAATAAATTATATTTATAAAGAAAATGCAACATCCGAGAGCCCATGCTCGGTTAGGATTCTAATGGATTAAAAACAATTCAGAAGTTGTAGCTTCTCATCATTGCAGCCGAAGAGGTGAGATTTGACTCAGAGCTACAAGGCAATTTTGATGGGATTAATTGGCGAAGAAGTGCATGTCGGAAATATTTACGTGTCGGCAATGTCGGTCCGACAAGCCCCTCCCAGTGGGGACAGCACAGCGCCCCCCACCTTTTCGCCAAATACTGCGCACGAGTGTCAAAGTCAAGGCGTGGTGTCCCACGACACTCCACTAGCTCATCCACCGTGTTCTCCATCCCCCGGTGGCGGGGGAGCCCCGCTGCCGTAGCCAGAGAGCAAAGACGACCACGTCGCCCACGACGAGCACCCCGACACCGTCACACCGGCCTGGTGGCCCCGGGGCCGGCCCGACCCCTCCCAAGAACCACGTCCCTCGGGGCCAAGGCCTCTGCTGCAGATCCGCCGAGGGGCCGACAGCATAAGCCAGCTCTCTCTAAGCCGCAGGGAAAGAGGTTTCCCCAGACAAGATGAAGGAGTTCCAACTTCCTCCTCCAGGCTCATCATCCGCCAAACCGACGAGTCACGAAGCGCCTGCCCTGCTGTCCACGTCCCCAGACCACCGACTGTGCGCCTCAGAGAAAGCCACGGAGGACCCCCATCCTCTTTCCGCTTTTCCTGGCAATTCTTCCCCGATGGGAGAAAAATGACAAGACTGTGTCACTATAGCAACTAACCTAATTGGTGGACTGCAGGTTTTTCTCCAGCCAGAGGATGGAGCCCATCTCCTTAAATATGAATCTCTGCCGCCTGGGCCCCCAACAGAAGAACATCCCCTAACTGAAAACCAGGCCAGGAAACCATCCAGTTTTCCTTTTGCCGCGCACCAGAAAGTGAACACCTTATGTGCTGCAGAGAAATGCTCAGATTTAATAGGGAGGATAATTGAATCCTGTATGATACTTATCAGTTTCCCTAATTAATATGATACAAATATATCTGCTCCATAACACAAAAAACATTTTGGGTAATAAAAATCCTGACTGATAACAAAAACAATTTACAAACAAGGATGCTAACTATTCTTATTCATCCCAGATATATTGGAAAAGGGAACGGAAATCATAAGAACTGTTTCATTTGCATTTTACTTGCTTTATCAATTCAAAAAAAAAAAAAAGAAATGTGTTTTTTTTTTCCTCCAGGACTGCTGTTCCACCCTATAAATTATTATTATGTCTATTTCGTATTTTAGTAAAATGTTTTAATTTCTCCAAGTGCATTTCCGGTGAAATGGGGTGTGTCTGAAAACGTCTTATCTTATTGTCAATTATTCCATTACATGGAAATGGCAACCACCATGAAAATGTGGTTAACCCAAGCTTTCGTTATTAATGATTTCTGCTCTTCCGAATAAGACATTTTACCAAATGTCCTTGTCCTGGTGGAAGAGCTGTTTCCAGAACACCGGGGAGGCTGCTAAGGGTGGGCTGGGTGTGCGAGTGGGGATCTCAGGTTCCACGGTGTGTCTGGGCAGCTAGTAGCCGCGTGGCCGGACGCTCTCCGACCCGGGCCTGGGGCAAGCAGCCATCCTGGGAGGGGGGTGTGAGTGTGGGGATGGGGGGCAGGTGGTGGGGAGAGCCGGAGCAGGTGCTGCCGGAGCTGACCAGGAGGGAGCCGGGGGCACGGGGGCAGTGGGGGTGAGGAGCTTGAAGCCACCACCAAGGTGTCCTGTACTTAACCATTAGTGGTTGCTCTTTTTCTCACCTGAAAAGCGGCTTCCACCGGCCAGCTGCTGTCCTGGGTTGTCACCTGGGCCCCCAGGACCCTGTCCCGCTGTGGGCCAGCCCTAGCCAGGGACAGCAGCCCCCGGGGACGGGGGCTCAGGGAGCCACAGTCCCCTTCCCAGGCCGTACTGGGAGCCCCTCTTGCTGGGGAGGGCATTCAGGAGGCAGCCTGGGGAGTTCATCAGCCAGCAGCCCTTTGCACAGCGGCCAGGAACACCGTGCACCCCGCCGGAGGGCCGAGGGGGCCGCGGGGAGCCGGGGAGACCTGCGCGACCGTGCTTCGAGCCCCGAGCCCCGGCCCAGGCCCCTCCAGCCGCCCCGGGTCGGGGGTCCGCTGCTGGGCAGCTCGGGTCGCGACCCCGCTGGCGGCCTTCAGCCCTGGGCCCCGCCCCTACCCGCGGGGGGCGCAGCCCTGCCTGCAGCCGCAGCCGCTGCACCGGGGGCCCGGCCATCCCCGCGGCCCCGCCGTCCCAGGACCGGCCACCGCGCCTGCCGGGTCTGCACGGGCGCCGCTCCGGCTCTGGAGGCGGCCGCGGAGGGTCCGGGGGAGCGGGAGGCCGGGCTCGGTGCTGGCGCGGCGGCCGGGCTCGGCGCTGGCCTCTTTTTTTTTTTTTTTTTTTTTTTAAGAATCCATATTTTTCCATCACCTCCCGCGCCCATGGCAGCTCTCCATGACAGGTGTTCCCCAGCGCCCGTCCGCTCCTCCCGCTAGGATGGGAAGCGGCCCGAGCCTGTGCCCGGCGGCCGGCCGGGACCCCAGCGCCGCGCACCCCGGCCCCGCTCCCCGCCGCCCCGGGCGCGACCCCGTGCCCGGGGCGCTGACCCCCGCCCCCCGCCCCCCGCCCCCCGCGCCAGGTCCCGTCCCCGGACCCGACTCCAGAAATGCCCGCGGCGGCGGCCCCCCTCCCCTCCCCCCGCCCCGCGCCCCTCACTCGTCGGCTGAGTCCGCTTCCCGGGCGGCAGGGACCCCGGCGCGCGCCCCAGCCCGGCCCCGCCGCCGCCGCCGCCGCCGCCGCCGCCGCGGGCGCCCCGCTCGGGCTCGGCCCCGGCCCCGGCCCCCGCAGCCCCCGCCGCGGACCCCGCCGCCTCCTCCGGAGCGCGCGGCTGGGCTCGGCTGGGCTCGGCCGGGCTCGGCGCGGCTGGGCTGGGCTCGGCTGGGCTCGGCCGGGCTCGGCTGGGCCCCGCGGGCTGGGCCGGGCGCGGCGGCGGCGGCGGCGGCGGCGGCGGCGGCGGCGGGGCGGGAGCTCCGGGCAGCTCCGGGCAGCTCCGGGCAGCTCCGGGCACCGCGCGCCTCCCGGGGCCTGGCGCTCGCTCGGGCCCTGCCCCGGGGCCGCGCGGGAGGCTCGCTCCCAAGTGCCGGGCGGCGGGAGCCCGGGCGGCGCCGTCCCTCCGGCCCAGCGGGAAGCGCCGGCAACTCCGCGCCGACTCCGGGGCCGCGGGGCTGGGGCGCGGGGCTGGGGCGCGGGGCCGGGCCGGGCCGGGGCCGGGGGCGCGCGGGGGGCCGCGGCCGCGCGGTACTCACTGCAGTAGGCGACGAGCAGGCCGGCCAGGATCATGAACGCCCAAAAAGTTGAGGACATGCTGGGCAGGGCGGTCGCATCTTGCCGGCTGCCGGTCCTGGGCGATGGCGCCATTGAAGCCGCGGCGCCCGCGCGGGGGGCAGCAGCGCGTCTCAGCAGCCGGCCCTGCCCGCGCCCCCGCGCCGGCCTCCACGTGCGGGCCCCGCGCGCGCCATCCTCCGCCGCCGCCGCCGCCGCCGCCGCCGCCGCCGCCGCGCCCGGGCTCCGGCCCACTGCGCCCCGCGCCGGCCCGCCCCGCGCCGCGCCCGCGCCCGCGCCGCGCCCGCGCCCGCGCCCGCGCCCGGGGACGGGGACGGGGACGGGGACGGGGACGGCGGCCCCGCGGCTCTGGGCGTCGCTGTGCGCCCGGCTCGGCGCGCCCGGTGCGCGCACCCGAGCACGCGGGGTCCCGGCGCGGTCCCGGGACTGGCGGGGGAGGCGGGGCGGAGGGGCCGCGGAGCCCCAGCCGCGCCTCTGGATGGCGACAGAGACGGCCCGGCTCGCCCTCGCCCGCCGCCCGGGCCCCGCCGGGGACAGGCCCGGCCGCCAGAAGTTTGCGGACTTGCGCCGCGCGCCCCGGGCCCTTCCCGCGCCGGCTGCGGCGCCCGCTCCCGGCCCTCCTGCTCCGGGTGCGCGCGGGGCCCCGGACCCGCGGGGAGTCAGCGGAGGTCGGCGCGCCAGGCGGGGACGCTCGGCCCCAGAGCGCCCTCCTGCTCCTCCCTCCGTGTGGCCTCCGCCTGCCCACCGCCCTGGGCCTTGGGAAAGGGTCCCCCTGCCTGTGTCCCCAACCCCCGCCCCCGGCCAGGGGCGGCCCTGCCCAGCGCGGTGAGCGGGGTGCTCGGGGGCGCGTGCGGAACCAGCCGCCGCAGAGCCCACCAGGCCCTACCCTCGGGAGGGGAGTGGAGCCAGGACCCCGTGGGGTCAGATTCCCCAGCCCCACTCCACCCTCTGGCGTCCCCTCAGGAAGACAAGCTCCCAAGACCAGATGCTCACCAGACGGCCCTGCCACCCAGGGAGGCTGTGGCCCCCGCGGACCGGGCCACACTGCCCACCCCAAACCCTGGCTTCCTGCGGGTCGGTGGACGTTCTAATATGAGCTCATCCTTCCAGATTCAGAGGATCTTCTGATCCTGCACGGAGAGGGGGCACGCCGGTGACCCCATGAGGTCTGAGGTCTTCTTGGAACTGGAGGCTCTTTCCCAGGAGCCACTAGAGGGCCTGAAGCAAAGATGGTCACGGCATCACCCCTTCACCTCAGGTCCTGGCCGGCTGGGAATGTAAGGAGACCACAGAGCCTGTGATCACCGCCGCTCAGAACCTGCTGTGGGCGCCAGGGACCCGCACACACACACCCGACACACACTACATATGTGCATTGTACATACACACACCATATGCACACGCAACACTCATGCACACATGATACCGACAAAGCACACACACACATCCTTTCTCTCCCTGGTACACACACGCACACTGCGCAGAGGAAACCACGGCAGGCAGAGGCAGGCCCAGGCCAGGCCACCTCACCCAGTCCCAGTGGGTGTCTGCATGAGGAGCCCACACCAGAGGCTCGGCAGGACTCCTGCTGTAATGTGATTGTGTCCAGGATGGTTTTTTTCATAAACTGTCTATTCCTGTTTAATTAAAACCGTCGGACTTCCTTCGAGGTATCTTCCCAGTGCGGCCTCCGGGTTCCCTTTGCTGGCCTGGAGGCGCTGCAGGGCCGGGGCTCCGGAGACGCTGAGGGTGGATGGGCAGGCACCCCGGTCTCCAGTGTGCTGGCCTGGGTAGGGGCTCCCTCACTCAGAGTCCCCGCGATCCCACTGCCCCCCCCCCCCCCCCCCCGCCGAGCCGGCCTGCCTCTCTGGATCCAAGTTCCCTCCTTTGACGGGAGCCTTTTATCCTGCTAAAAAGGATGTTACTTTTTAAAACGTGACACATCCCGTTTCATCCTGTCCATTCTGAACTTCTGTTATGTTCTGGACATTCCTTCATCCTGCATCTAATTCTCGAGCACCTTCTAGATGCCACTGCTGGAGGAGGGGAATTAAACAGGACACATGCTTTCTGTCCCCTGGCTGTGTCTGCTTGGTTTGGGAGATGGATGAGGAAACCAGCACTTACAGCGCCCTGTGGCGGCTGTGGCAATGGAGCAGGGATGCAGGCCTGGCTGGCAGGTGCGGGGGGTGGGTGCAGGGAGGGCAGGGGTGCAGCCCTAACTTGCAGGTGCAGGGGGGCGGGTTGCAGGGAGGGCAGTGGTGCAGGCCTGGTTGGCAGGTGAAGGGAATGGGGTGCAGGGAGGGCAGGGTGCAGGCTTGGTTGGCAGGTGCTGGGAGCGGGGTGCAGGGAGGGCAGGGGTGCAGGGTGCAGGGGGTGGGGCTGCAGGCCTGGCTGGCAGGTGCCTGGTGCTGGAGGACAAGGCCCAGGGTGGGAGGCCAGGGAAGCTTCCAGCAGAGTGCTTTTACAACCTGTTAAGTGCCATCCTTAAGACAAGCGCATGCACACACGCGCACACACACACAAAACAACGGTTTCACAAAACAATACTTACACTCTCAACACTCTGTTGTGTTTCCCATTTTGTCCTAATTCATTGCTTAAAATACCGGTTGCCTACCGATGGTTGTGTTTACTGTCATTTTCTCTGCTTGACAAGCACTGTTCCAGGAGAGATGTGGTCTGTGTTGAATTTGGGAGGATAAATTGGAGCTGTCACACCAGAGGTCGGAGGGCATGGCGATGGTGGGCAGTGGGGAGCACCCGGAGCAGGGGGGCAGCGAGGTGAGCGGCCTGGTCAGCTTTCTCTTGGAGCGCGCACCCCGAGATTTCTGTGGCTGTGACATTAGGAGGTTGACGTGTTAAAGGAAAAAATCTTCAAAGACACTTGTTAGAGATGGTGAGGCAGGGGGGCCTGGGTGGCTCAGCGGTGGAGCATCTGCCTTCGGCTCAGGTCGTGACCCTGGGGTCCCCGGATCGAGTCCCACATTGGGCCCCCTGCAGGGAGCCTGATTCTCCCTCTGCCTGTGTCTCTGCCTCTCTCTCTGTGTCTCTCATGAATAAATAAATAAAATCTCAAAAAAAAAAAAAATAAAGACAGTGAAGCAGACCTGGTACAGAGCCCCCAAGGGGCTGGGCACCACCGGGACCAGAGCGTGGGCCAGTAGGGGTTTCTAGACGAGGGGCAGGTGGGGCAGTGGGAGGAAAATTGGTGAGAGGAAGTGTCGTGGGGACGGGGCAGAATTGCGGCTAAAGGCCGGCCAGGTGACAAGACCCCAGTGGAGGATGGGACACCCAGGCACATATGGAGGGTGGGGGGCTCTGGTTGAACTGACTTAGCAGGTTCTTGCTGAAACCGGATCGTACAAGGAGGTGCACAGGTGTGCCTTGGAGAAGGGTCGGGAGCCTGACCAGAGTTTGACCAAGCACAGAATCTTTGTCAGACAGGAGCATGTACGTCATGAATGTGGCGGGTGTTGACCAAGTTCCTGGCGGCTGCCGCTGACACCGATGATCCCACGAGGAAGAGGAAAGGGAGCAGAGCCCGCGCTGCCTATAGCTTGGAATTTGAGGGTGCTGGAGAGTCTGGAAGCCAGCGAGCCGGACAGGGCCGGGGCAACGGGACGTGAGTTTAGGCTCCTGACCAGGGGAGGCCAGAGTCATGACAAGGCACAGCCGGGATGTGGGACGCGGGCCGGAGGCAGGCCAGGTGCTGGTGGCTCCCGGCCTGGGGAGAGACCACGATGGGAACGGAGGGTGGGGGCTGAGCAGAGCGCTGAGTTCCGTTGCTAGGAAACCAAAAGCGCAGCTCCAGATCCCAAAGCGCTGCCAAGTGACCGAGTGTTGTTATTGACTGGCTGGTGCTGGGGACTGGCTGGAACGGACAGTTCTGAAACCGAGTAAGTTGACCGGAGACTCAGTGTCCACCTTCGCTGCCCGCCTCACTAACCGGGGTTGTGGTCCTGCAGCCTTGGGCAGGTCCTGGGTCTCCCCGCCCCCCAAACCATGGCCTGGCCCACAGAGGGGGGCGTCCTGCCTCCCAATGGCTCAGGTGGCCCCGAGAGCCCCAGAAATGTGGTGCTGCCCCTGGGGGATGGGTGGCGCCCGAGGGCAGATGACCGGGGTACTCACTCCAGGTCTGGGCAGGGAAGGGCAATGTCCCCTCCACAGGACACGTGGGGACGTTGTCCCTCCACTGTCGCTGCTCTGCTTCCAAACACAGGGATGCGGGTTGTGGTTCCTATCCTCCACCCCTCTGAACTGGCCGTGGGACATTTGTCACTTTAGTCATGGGCTGCCAGACTGACCGGGGCGTTTCAAGGTGGATGTTTATTCAACTGGGTGAATTTGGGGGACGCCCACTGGGGCAGCAGGGAGGGAAGCGTATTTTATGGAAAGGTAGGCATGTTTCTGGGGAGGAGATACAGCGGTCTGGGGACGGTCGGCCGCTAAGGGGGTGGACTGTCCTGCGCCTGGTGGACTGTCCTGCGGAAATAGTTGTGGGTTTTCCTTTGAGGGCCTACCACCTGCCACACGCATGCAACGTGCACTCTGCAGAGCCACCCCTGAGTGCTGAGGGATGGACAAGATCAGAGGGAGTCAGCAGCAGGTGTAGAAGCCCTGGGGGAGATAGGCCCTGACCAGGTGGGGCCAGGTGGGGCCAGGTGCGGGGACGGACGATGGGGTCCGAGGCCAGCCACTTCTCTCGGCGGGCGAGCAGGCCGATGGAAGAGCTGCAGCCCGGCAGGTGGGAGCCATGATGGGGCAGCAGCTCAGCAGGTGCGGACCACGGACTGCAAGCCCCATGAGGAAAGAGGGGCCTGGATGAAATGCAGCCCCTAAAACAGCCTTTCACAGAGTCAGTAGATGGAATCCCAGCGTTATTTTTAGGAGTGATTACCCATTTCATCCCCTGGGTGTCAACAATGATAAGTCATATTTTTCTGTTCCATAGTATGTTCCAGGCACCATTCCAAGTGCTTTGCCTAGGACGACAGAGCACTGGACACCAGTGCCTAGGTGCCTGGCTCCACGCAGCACCCTCCAAAGCTATTGACCTGTGTTTGTTTAAAGACGGTTTTGTAAAATGAGCGGATGAGACAGAGAAAGGAAACGTGGCTCCGCTCCGCCCCTCGCAGTGACCTACTCTGAGCGTTTCTTTGGG